GGAGGGGGGATGGGCATGGAGGAGGACACTTGTGGGGATGAGCACTGAGTGTTATGTGGAAACTAATTTGACAATAAACTATTTGTTAAAAAAAAGAAACGAAAATATATGGTATCTGTTCTTCTCTGACTGACTTATTTGACCTAGTGTAACACCCTCGAGTTCCATCCACGTTGCTACAAACGGCCAGATTTCATTCTTTCTCATTGTCATGTACTATTCCATTGTATAGATAAACCACATCTTGTTTTTAATAGTTTATTGTCAAGTTGGTTCCCATATAAAACCCAGTGCTCATCCCCACAAATGCCCTCCTCCATGCCCATCACACCCCTTCCCCATACCCATTAGCCCTCCGTTTCTTCTCAGTATTCAAGAATCTCTCATGTTTGCCTCCCTCCCTCTCCCCCACTATTTTCCCTCTTCTTCTCACCCATGGTCCTCTGTTAAGTTCCTCCTAATCCTCCTATACGTGCAAACATATGGTAGCTGTCCTTCTCTGCCTATCTTATTTCACTCAGCATAACACCATCAAGTTCCATCCATGTTGCTACACATGGACAGATTCCATTCTTTCTCATTGCCATGTAGTATTACATTGTATAGATAAACCACATCTTCTTGATCCATTCGTCCACTGATGGACATTTAGGCTCTTTCCATGATTTAGCTATTGTTGAAAGTGCTGCTATGAACATTGGGGTACCTACGTCCCTATGCATCAGCACTCCTGTATCCCTTGAGTACATTCTTAGCAGTGCTATTGCTGGGTCATAGGAGAGTTCTACTGTTAATTTTTTGAGGAACTTCCACACTGTTTTCCAGAGGGGCTGCACCAGTTTACATTCCTACCAACAGTGTAGGAGGGTGCCCTAAACTGTTTTAATTTTAGGTAAATAAGGTGGGAAAATTCATGCTGGGGACATTATCTTTTTCATGTTTTTAAAAATAGTTTATTGTCAAGCTGGTTTCCATATGACGCCCAGTGCTCATCCCTACAAGTGCCCTCCTCCATGCCCACTACCCCCTTTTCCCTTCCCCCCACCCCCATCAGCCCTCAGTTTGTTCTCGGCATTCAAGAGTCTCTCATGAGGCTGCACCATCCTGTAAGGATGTGCCTTGTCAAGCGAGGACCTGCCAGGAGGCTGATCCTGGTGGAAATGTTGAGGGAACTGTGGCTGCTACAAAGCCACCACCTGCCACACAGGTCCTCATGACGGGAGTGTACCCCTCCCAGGTATCAATCCAAGACTTTGGAAAGGGCGTGGAAAACTAGGCTCACTATGCAAATGTCAACACACCTGGTCTGGTGAGGTTGGAACCACATGGCACTGGCCACACCCACTCCAGAACCTCTCCTCCCACCAACTTCCTCCCCACCCCACCTCCAAAAAAATGTTTCCTGAAGTACCAGACACAGCTGGGACTAGTATGAACAAAGTAAGCCACTGTCGTTACATGTAAAATTTAAGGGAGGACCCCAAAACTCGTCATCAAGATAAATAATATTTAATGCATTATTTTTTATATTAAACTTAATGCAGAAAAATCTCGTGATGAATATAACTTCAAAACTGTAAGTCAGCTCAGGATCTCACCCTACAGTGAAGTGACTAGCTTCACTTCCCTCACACCAGGCTGTGGTTCCAGGGGTGAAGTGGGTGCCAGGGAAGATGCTGGACAAGAGTCTGGCCTCTGCATCCTCCCACCTGACCCACCACTGGAGTCTTTCCCTGCCTGGTCTATGGCCAACCCCTTCTGAGCTCCAGCCCTTTCTGTGGGTTAGCTTCCTGCTACTGCTGGTCTCTGCTGCCCCCTATTGGACTGTCCTCTCGGGACTGCACTCCAGGCGGCTGAATTGGGAGAGTTTGGCCTTAAAGCACTCAAAAGTTCTCAAGCCCCACCCTTCAGTTCCAGGCTGGCCCCACCTCTGTGCAAAAAAAAAAAAAAAAAAAAAAAAAAGCCTGGTCTTCCCACGTCTCTTTCTGGTACTCTAAGTCCGAGGACACAATCTTTACACCAAGTCGCTGTGTGTCTTGGGAAAGAAACTCTCTCTGTACCTCAGTTTATCAGTCTAAGGAGCTAGAAGGTCCCCACCAAGGTGGTGAGTCTGTGACATCTACAGAAGCAGTAGAATTCTTTTTCCATTTGCTGGAGGAGAGCTGGGAGCGGGGGTGGAACTGTATCCCCAGGATCACCAAAGGAGTAGGGGTTTCAGGGATTTGGGAACCCCTCAGAAGGGGACTCAGAAGCTGCAGAGCCAGACCCTGATTCTGAGGACTCTGAGAGATTCCAGAACCTCTGTCACATCTCCAGATACTTTGTTATACACACACACACACACACACACACACACACACACACACACACACACACCAGGCACAGATGTGAGATGAGAAGGCCCAGCCGGCTTGAGTTGGGGAGGGGAGGAGCAAGTTGCTGGAGAGGCCTGGATTTAGGAAGTCTCTGGGGCCTGCGGAGAACAGAGTGGGCAGGAGACTGGTCAGCAGGAGTAATGGGCACCCTCTGACACGGGAAGCAGAAGTGACTGGAAGAGAGTGCACCCTGCCACTCTGTGGGAGAAGGGCAGCGGCAGGGCACCAAGGAGCCAGGGACCCTCAGCAGGCTGTCTACCAAGTGGGACAGATGGACCTGCATTCCTCTGGCCCAGCCTGAATCCCGCCCTTGGCATATCTCAATCCAGGGAAGAGGTGAGGAGCAGGCCTGGGTGGGCCTGAGCTGTAGCTGTACAAGCTGGGAAGACCAAACCCATCCCTCAAGCGTCCCCGGGAAACAACCAGACTCAGATTTCTGACCGCAGTCACCACAAGAGGATGTGGTTTGTGGCAGTGGCTGCCCAGAGACTGTGGCAGGTGTAGGGGTGGGAAGGGAGTCACATCTGGGGATGCTGCCTTTAGGGAGAGCCCCTTCTTCCCAATACCTGGGGCTGTCTCCACTACAGTTTCTGGGCCCTTGGTAGTGGGTGAGTGTCTCACTCACACAGGGGTGCCAGGAGGGAACAGTTTCAGCCTGGACCTCTGGGGCACATGCTGCCCAAGCCTTCATGGTACCAGGAACCCAAGGTCAGAGACAGGCATGGGCCTCATCCTATGGATAGGATGATCCTCTGCCAAATGTAGCTGGAAAGTTAAGGAGTGACCAACTCAAAACTTGGGCCAGACAACTCTTAAAGGGATCCTCCAGGAAAGTCACTTTGGAAGACTCTGAGAGGCCTCATTTAGGGCTGCAGAAACAAAAACTAGAAGCCCTCCATGGCTGCGACCCAGACTCGAGCAGGTGTATTTAAAGACCTTGTTTCCAGAAAACTGGAAAGCAAGAGGAGAGGCTCTGGGTGACAGATGGTATCCTACAACATGCTGCTTTCAATGCTTTCTACATCGAGCGGTGTGACTTCACCAGGCCCGGAGAGTTGATGCACAGATATCAACAAAGCATGTCCTGGAGTCATGCCAGGGCCAGCAGTCCCCTGTATAGAACCTGTTTAAACATCAATTTCCTCATCCTCAAATAGGCGAGACATCTTAGCTCAACCAGCAGCCAACCCCACTGTCTGCATCAGCCTCATTGCATTACGTATTATATTCCTGGGCTTTCCAATGGCCCCTAACCCAAAGCATCTGTGCATCCTGTCCCTCCTGCACCTCTAACCAACAGAACCCAAACTTCAGCTCCCTTGGAACCAAAGCATGAGCCTTCCAGGTGGACAAAGGGCTGCAATGCAGGAAACAAGCTCACTCCTAGATTCCAGCTCATCCTGTACCCCACTCCCAGAACACCCTTGGCCCCAGCATTCATCTTCTCTGGACCTTAGTTTTCTCACTTGTAACACAGGGAAATGCCCCCAGGACATGCCAACAGTTGTTGTAAAACCCAAAGTCCGAGGATGGTGGAATGGGAATGAGTATTCTTTCAACACCTGCTACATACTGGGGCTTAGCATTCACATGATCTCATCCATCTTCACGACTGGCCTGATACAGAGGAACTATGTCCATTTTAGAGATGAGGAAACTGAGGCCCAGAGGTGACCTAGGGCTAGGTTTCAACATTCATGAACCTGATATTACTCCTTGAGTAAAGGATATAGAATCGCTCCCTGCAGAGCTCTTGCCAGGCTGAGTAAGCTCAGATGACCGGTCAGAAACGAACCAGGCTTGACCAACCCTGCCAGGGAAGTGGAGTATGCAAGGACTCAGCCCGTGGGACTGGTCAGAAGAGGAGCCCTAGCCCCAGTCCCAATCCAAAGAGCTCAGGCCTTGGTAATTCCTGATCCACTGGGCACTCAACTTCTTTCTGTGGTCCTTTCAAGCCCCAGGGAGATGCTCCACAGACCTGGGCACCCTTAGGAATAGGGAAATAAGGCAGGCCAGGTATGCCCCACCCAGAGCCTCAGGGGTGGGGACTGTGGGTTGGTTTCAGTGGGAGGAGATGGAGCCCAGGATCTGACCACAGTGGGGCACCTGGCAGATGTTACTCTGAGGGAGATCCCCATGGTAGCAGCCATGGGCCCTAGGGAGAGGTGGGCACCAAGAACAGAGACCAGAGAAGGCCCAGGCAGAGGACAGGACTATATGGGCCAGGCACACTGGGACTGCTGCTGCCAAGAAGAGGGACCCAAGGCACCTGCTGCCCCTCTCCTCAGGGAGAGTTCAAGTTGAGCTTCCACCCTGAGGGCAAATGAAGCCCAAGACAGGCCAAGTGTGCTGTGAGGTTCCTGGAGGGACAGAGTCCTGGCCCTAGGCAGTGCTGGCCCCTACTGCTGGTAAACCTGGCCTTGGGCACCCATGGCCCACTGTCCCCAGAGCAACATCATTGAGCAGAGCCCCAGCAGGAAGGAGCCTAAGGTAAGGAACCAAAATATCATGGCAGTGGAGGATGTGGAGTTCCCTGAGGTGGGAGCTGGGAGTGGACATCTGAAGAGAAGAGCAGCTGTGAGGGGAAGATGGGGGAGAAGGAAGAATCAGCCAGAGAGAAGGGGCTTGTGTAGACATTGGCTGTATTTAAAGTGCTGACATCTGTCTTGCATGGATTTTTTGCATTGTTTCTTCATTTTTAATATTGTATTAAAATATTGTGTATCTTGATGACTGAGTTCTTGACATCCCTTAAATTTTGTACTAGAGCCACACTTGCCTCACCCTTGTCCTCTGGGTAAGGCAGAAAGAGGCAAGCAGAAGCAGGATGTGCCCAGAAGGCACTAATCATTTTAGGGGCAGAACCTTTCTCCCTGTAGTCCCACAAGTCAGATCCTGATGTTATCCTCGTCTTGCAGAGGAAGATAGAGGTCCAGAGAGGTAAGGTGACCTTTACAAGGTCACACAGCACATAGGCACAATCTCAGCACTGTAAGAAGCCAGAAGACTGAACCTTGTGACCTTATCAGCATATACTGTGTTGAAACAAAATGGTGCAACATTCTGAAGTGGTGGTCTGTCAGGCAGTTAAAGAGGGGAACAAGGGCTTGACTGAGTCTCCACCAAGGATGTCCACCCTGAAACTCATCCATAAATATTTACAGGAGTCAGGCCTGGGGACCCAGAGAGGGTGGGACCAATGGGTCATGTCCAGGGATGGAGACAATCAAACTGGTCTGACAGGTGGAGGGGCACTGACGCTTGATATGGTCACTCCAGGCACCCAGAGCAGCTTGGGCTGAGAAGAGAGAGAGGTGTCCAGGCACATCAGGGCACTCTGTGCTGCATGCAGCGTCTTATGTGCTGCGACCTTGACCTTGAAGTCCAGAGGAGTTGTTGAGGGACTTAAGCAGCAGGTGGTCAAAGTCGGGTTCATGTTTGGAAAACAGATAGGAGTCCGGTGTGAGACAAATTAGAGGACCCAGGAGGACTAATGGCCACAGCCTGTGTCTTGGGGATGGGGAGGACCAGGTACCAAGATCACCTATGAAATTAGCAAGTGAATTTAAAGTGACTGTACCAGATGTTGACCAGACAGGAATGGACACTCTCGGGGACTGTCTATAGTAGTCTAAAATGTACAGCCATTTTAACAATATGCAACAAGTCATTTTTAAAATTTATTTAAATTGTGTAATTCCATTTCTACAAATTCATGGGGGGCGTAACAAAAGGTTTACAAAGAAAAATGAGTAGCTCAACATGATTAGTGGTGGAAGAAAACTGGAAATAATCTAAATATCCAGCAGAAAGCGTGTGCCCAAATACAGTATAGAACATCCATCATAAGGAATCTTACACAAACATCCAAAACTATGTAACTGAAAGCAGGTTTTTAAAGTATGTGTTTCACTTACAGCTATCTTTTCCCATTCCAACAGTTGCCTATTAGTTTTATGGATCGTTTTCTTTGCCGTACAGAAGCTTTTTATCTGGATGAGGTCACAGTAGTTCATTTATGCTCTTGATTCCCTTGCCTTTGGGGATGTGTCAAGTAAGAAGTTGCTGCGGTGGAGGTCAAGGAGGTTGTTTCCTGCTTTCTCCTCTAGGGTTTTGATGGTTTCCTGTCTCACGTTCAGGTCCTTTATCCATTTTGAGTTTATTTTGGTGTATGGTGTGAGAAAGTGATCTAGTTTCATTCTTCTGCCTGTTGCTGTCCAGTTCTCCCAACACCATCTGTTAAAGAGGCTGTCTTTTTTCCATTGGATCCTCTTTCCTGCTTTGTCAAAGATTAGTTGGCCATACATTTGTGGGTCCAATTCTGAGTTCTATATTCTAGTCCATTGGTCTATGTGTCTGTTTTTGTGCCAATACCATACTGTCTTGATGATGACAGCTTTGTAGTAGAGGCTAAATCTGGGATGGTGATACCTCCCATTTTGGTTTTATTCTTCAGTATTACTTTAACTATTCGGGGTCTTTTGTGATTCCATACAAATTTTAGGATAGTTTGTTCTAGCTTTGAGAAGTATGCTGGTGCAATTTTGATTGGAATTGTATTGAATGTGTAGATTGCTTTGGGTAGTAATGACATTTTAACTATATTTATTCTTCCGATCCATGAGCATGGAATGTTTTTCCATTTCTTTGTGTCTTCTTCAATTTCCTTCATAAGTTTTCTATAGTTTTCATCCTACAGATCTCTTGTATCCTTGGTTAGGTTTATTCCTAGGTATTTATGGTTTCTTGTGTAATTATGAATGGGATCAGTTTCTTGATTTCTCCTTCTGTTGCTTCATTATTGGTGTATAAAAATGCAACCCATTTCTGTACGTTGATGTGGTACTCTGCAACTTTGCTGTATTCTTGGATCAGTTCCTGTAGGCTTCTGGTGGAGTCTGTCGGGTTTTCTATGGAGAGTATCATGTCGTCTACGAAAAGTGAAGTTTGACTTCTTTGTCAATGCTGATACCTTTGATTTCATTTCGTTGTCTGATGGCTGATGCTAGCATTTCCAGCACTATGGTAAACAACAGTGGTGAGAGTGGACATCCCTGTCGTGTTCCTGATCTCAGGGGGAAAGCTCTCAGTTTTTCCCCTTTGAGGATGATGTTAGCTGAAGGCATCTCATAGATTGCTTTTATGATTTTAGTAGGTTTCTTCTGTCCTGACTTTCTCTAGAGTCTTTATTAAGAAGGATGCTGTAGGGGCACCTGGGTGGCTTAGTCGGTTAAGCGTCCAACTTTCTCTTAGGTCATGATCTCGCGGTTAGTGGGTTCAAGCCCCGCGTCGGGCTCTGTGCTGACTGCCATTCAGAGCCTGGAGCCTGTTTCAGAGTCTGTTATTCCCTCTGTCTCTGACCCTCCCCTGCTCATTCTGTCTCTCTCTCTCTCGGAAATAAATAAAACATTAAAATTTTTTTTAAAAAAAGAAAGAAGGGATGCTGTATTTTGTCAAATGCTTTTTCTGCAATTATCAACAGAATCATATGGTTTTTATCTTTTCTTTTGTTGGTGTGATGTATCACATTGATTGATTTGCGAATGTTGAACCAGCCCTATAACCCAGGAATGATTCCCACTTGATCTTGGTAGATAATTCTTTTTATGTGCTGCTGGATTTGATTTGCAAGTATCTTGTTGAGAATTTTTGCATCCGTGTTCATCAAGGATATTGGCCTGGCGTTCTCTTTTTTTGCTGGATCTTTGTCTGGCTTGGGAATCAGAGTGATGCTGGCTTCATAAATAGACTCCGGGAGTTTTCCTTCGACTTCTATATTTTGGAATAGCTTGAGAAGAATTGGTATTAATTCTGTTTTAAATGTCTGGTAGAATTCCCCAGGGAAGCCATCAGGTCCAGGGCTCTTATTTGTTGGGAGTTTTTTGAAAACTGATTCGATTTCTTCACTAGTTATGGGTCTGTTCAGATTTCCTATCTCTTCCCGTGTGAATTTTGGTAGTGAGAGTATGTTCAGGAATTTGTCCATTTCTTCTATGTTGTCCAATTTGTTGGCATATAATTTTTCATAGTATTCCCTGATAATTGCTTATATTTCTGAGGGGTTAGTGGTAATCCTCCCATTTTCATTTATGATTTGTCTATTTGGGTGCTCTCTCTTTTCTTCTCGAGAAGCCTGGCTAGAGGTTCGTCAAATTTGTTTATTTTTTCAAAAAAAGCAACTCTTGATTTCATTGATCTGTTCAATTATTTCTTTGGTCTCTATGTTGTTTATTTCTACTCTGATTTTTACTATTTCTCTTCGTCTACTGGGTTTAGGGCATTCTTGTTGCTCTGCCTCTAGTTCCTTTGGGTGAGCTGTTAAATTTTTTACTTGCACTTTTTCTAATTTCTTGAAATAGGCCTGGAGTGCAATGTACTTTCCTCTTAGGACTGCCTTTGCCGCATCCCATAGAGTTTGGGTTGTTGTGTTTTCATTTTCATTTGTTTCCATATATTTATTTATTTATTTATTTATTCTTGCAGGATATAGTAATTTATAATAATAATAATTATTATTATTATTATTATTTTTTACAAATAGTTTATTGTCAAATTAGTTTCCACATAACACTCAGTGCTCATCCCCATAAGTGTCCTCCTCTATGCCCATCCCCCCTCCCCCCAACATCCATCAGTCCTCAGTTTTTGTCAGCATTCAAGAGTCTCTCATGGTTTGCCTCTCTCCCTTTCCCCCACCATTTCCCCCCTTCTTCTCCCCCTTGTTTCCATATATTTTTAAATTTCTTCTCTAATTGCCTGATTGGCCCATTCATTCTTTAGTAGGGTGTTCTTTAACCTCCATGTTTTTGGGAGTTTTTCAGGCTTCTTCCTGTGATTGATTTCACGTTTCAAAGTATTATGATCTGAGAGTGTGCATAGTATGATCTTAATTTTTTATATTTATTGAGGGCTGCTTTATGTCCCAGTATGTGATCTATCTTGGAGAATGTGCCATGCGCACTTGAGAAGAAAGTAAATTCCCTGGCCTCAGGATGTAGAGTTCTAAATATATCTGTCAGGTCCATCTGGTCCAATGTGCCTTCAAGTCCGTTATTTCTTTATTGATTTTCTATCTGGTCGACCTATCCATTGCTGTAAGTGGAGTATTGAANTGGTTGACCTATCCATTGCTGTAAGTGGAGTATTGAAGTCCCCTGCTATTAGCACATTCTTATCTATGAGCCTGTTTCTGTTTGTGATTAATTGTTTTATATATTTAGGTGCTCCCACATTCGGTGCATACATTTATGATTGTTAGTTCTTCCTGATGGATAGACCCTGTAACTATTATGTAATCCCCTTCTTCGTCTCTTGTTATTGTCTTTAATTGAAAGTCCAGTTTGTCAGATATAAGTATAGCCTCTCCGGCTTTCTTTTGATTTCCAGTAGCATGATATATATTTCTCCAGCCCCTTACTTTTAATCTGAAGGTATCTTCCAGTCTAAAATGAGTTTCTTGTAGACAGCATATAGATGGATTTTGTTTTTTTCAATCCATTCTACTACCCTATGCCTTTTGATTGGGGCATTTAGTCAATTTACATTCAGTGTTATTATTGAAAAATATGGGTTTAAAGTCATCGAGTTCTTTGTGAGATTCATGCTTGTGGTGGTGTCTCTGGTTTCTTGCATTCCTTGCAACATTTCCCTCAGAGCATCCACCTCAGGATTTGTTGTAGGGCTGGGTTAATGGTGACAAATTCTTTCAATTTCTGTTTATTTGGAAAGACTTTTATCTCTCCTTCTATTTTGAATGACAGGCTTGCTGGATAGAGGATTCTTGGCTGCATATTTTTTCTGTTCATCACATTGAAATTCTCCTGCCATTCCTTTCTTGCCTGCCAAGTTTCAGTAGATAGGTCTAACACCACTCTGATAGGTTTCCCTCTGTATGTTAGGGCCCTTTTCTCCCTAGCTGCTGTCAGAAAATTCTCTCTTTG